CATTAAACGTACTTACGTTGAGTTTTATTTCGTGTCTTGACAACATTAAGCTGCGAAATGAAAGAGTTTTCCCCATTAGGTGCTTGTTCCACTATCGCGAAACGACTTTCTGATGTAAAATTAATTGGCATTATTTGGTTATTTCTGTTGACTTTATCTTACAAAAGAGATGTTCAAGTTTGCACGAAATGTTTGCAGATTGGCCATTTGAAACCATATGACGTCACAGTGCTTCATTGTTCATAAAAATATATGACCCCATCTATTGTTCATGACGTCACAAAATGATTGCATTATGTTATCTAAACAAAATGCTGCCAGTGAAGTTTCGCATTGACATTTTGTCTTGAAATCATACATGTTTCATAAGTAATAAGACAGACTTTTCTTGTAGTTCAAAATAGTTGTTTACTTCAGAGGGCCGATACAAGAAATATATGAAATAACCAACGAGCTAAGTGGGATTACGGATTATCTGTCCCTCGCGAATTAATCCTGTCTCTCACCAAAGATTTGGGATTAACACCATTCACTCTCAGTTAATCCATTATTCACCATAGCTTGTTCGTTATTCCCTAACTATTTACCTCAAATATGGTTGAACATATCCTCATCATGTCAATATGGCCTGATGGAATCCTTGTAAAATACTGGGTTATAATAATTACCTGTTTATAAAGTGAACAAGCTCCCATACACCCATTAGAGTTATGACATTTGATAATACATCTGTTGCTTCCTCCAATTGGCGAATCATGCCTCGGCCTAATCAGCTGGTGCATGTTGAATGTAGTAGCTTGTTCCACACTATGGCTGAGGTCGCTGTTAATCACACAGACACACTCGGTCTTACTTTACCTGCTGTGTCTGTCTAAACAATGGCAAATTAACAAGCCGACCATCGATTTGCTCAGAACTGATTGATCAAAGTTAGTTTATGGTGACCCTGAACACTGTCTGAGCTTGTAATGGCTTCATCAATTATATCTATGGCCTGTTCCTCTCATAACATGTGTCCTATGTTACTGAGCACAGAAGGGGTTTCCCTGTAATCTCCCCTAACCCATGGACAGATGCTTAACACCTGGCACACCTGTAAATATCAATAATCATGTTTATTGTTTAGACAAGTGTAATGATCTATTTTTACAATCCACTTGTTGCTTTTTGCTCCAACCCTTGAAATACATCATGAATCTGTTGATCCTTGCCACATGGTACCAACATACAAGTATTTGTAGTTTCTGAAAGAAATGTGTGACTGGAAATGATATTGGTGAAAACCATTTTTTTAATATGGCTGGTGTAGCATCCTCATCAAAATTTCATCAGAAACCCGAAACATATTCAGGAGTTTACGAAAATTCCAGAATCATCGATTTGTTTTCGGATGCTCATGGACAAGACTACCATGGAATATCACTCAGCCCAATTCCTCCTTACTCAACACTGAATCTAGTTGTCTTGTAAACACCCATACAAGTTGGCTGCATGGCCTGCACAGATGGCACAGATATCATGTCACGCCACAAATGACCTTGCCCATGCTTTCATGAACAACAAAAACACCGATTATTGTGACACACAAATATTTCAGCGAAAATAATTCCCTGTAACATGTGATATCGTAATGACACATTCATCATCTGTCAATAGTGGGGAGTACAGGATTTTAGGAGCTGAGTTGGATTTAACCACCTTGAACAGTATTCAAGATACATCACGGCGGGTCAGTTTGATCTGAGAGGAAAGCCCGAAGTGATGCAGGTCTCATTTCATTTTGGTGAAACCCACAAGCACAGATTTGGTGCTGACAAACCTAGAAACATATTTGGATTTGAACCAGGATTCAAACCACAATTATTGGTTCTGGCGTGACCAAGGAACGGAACTCGGCACAGAGAATTTGGGCACCTTGGACAACCGGGGCACCCATGGCTCTTTTTGGGAGATGAACACTTGTGGTATAACACAAGCTCATTCAGCTTGCAAAAGTCCATACACTTTGTTACTCTTTGTTTGTTTGTTGTGAATAATAGTATGGACCAGACAATCCAGTGATTGACCTTATGAGCATCGATCCACGCAATTGGGATACAATGACATCCACCACCCATTTGGTGAGCCGGACCACCCGATCCTGTTAGTCACCTCTTACGACAAGCATGGGTTGCTGAAGACCTATTCTACCCCGGATCTTCACAGGTCCTCTCCTGCTGACACATATGGAACTGATATAACATGCTTACAGAAGTCACGTCCAGGTGAGCTGAGCATGGATCTGGTATTAATTGATTTGTCCCTCCTCCATCATTCCTTGGTTATACTGACAGCTGCATACATCGATCACGGGACAGGCTCAGTCGCTGACATTGATTCCACTGCAGCCGATTAATATTGTAAATGGGGGTTTTAACATTTAATTTTGTCATTTGATGAAACTGGCACTCATCTGCTTAGTTTTTACTGCTGAGAATTTTATTGATCATCAAGGGAATGATGAACTGCCATTGTTTGACTGGAAGCAACTGGTATTTGTTTAAAGGTTTCCATTCCTTCCAAACATCCTTTTTCCTGGACAAGAAGAAGACTGACATGCTGACATCTGTGTTGCAGATGCAGCTATAAATCATTATTCATCAGACTTTTGTTCAGTTTCTTGTTACTAGTTTGTGTGTTGATTGGTTGATAAATGCCACACTCAGCAATATTTAGGTGAGGTGAAATTGGGTTTAACGTCGCTTCCAAGATTATTCCACTTATATAGCGACATGCATGCACGTGTATGAGTGTGTGTGTGTGGCTGCTTGTACTAGTCCGGACTGATGCTGATTTATAGTGCTAGCCCACTGAGATACCATGCCGCAGGTTAATATTAATACCCCACTCAGACACAGTATACTGACTCCAAGCCGACCAGTCCTTGTTTTAGCCCCTTTATGCCGAGTGCCAGACAGGGTAACAACAAGTACCATCTTTTAACGTCTTTTGGTATGACGCGGCCGGGGATCAAACCCCGGACCTTCCGCTCTCCGGGCGGACGCTCTACCACTAGACCACAGAGGCGGTCTCAGCAATATTTAAGGCTGCCTGTACATAATTAAGCCTGGAATGGACAATTCAGTCTGTCTGGGTACAATGACATGCTATAAACCAAATCACCGGAGCCTCAGACCATCATATCCATTAATGTGTCTCTTTAGGCCAGCAAAGTTTGCTGGGCACCTGCTCTAACCCAGAATATTTGTTTATTTGTTTATTTCAGCTATATGACGCCGGTCTGTAAATAATCAAGTCTCGACCAGACAATCCAATGATCGACATCATGAGCATCGATCCAAGTAATTGGAATATGATGACATGCATCAACCAAGTCAGAGAGCCTGACCACCCGATCCTGTTAGTCGCCTCTATGACAAAAGCATAGTCTTCTCTTACAGCAAGCATGGGTTGCTGAAGACCTATTCTAACCCGGATCTTCACGGGTCCAGAGGTTGGCAGACCTACATCATTACAGGCTGCCCTCCCTCTTTATGCTGACATCCAGAATGATCCCAAGACTTTACTGCTGCTACAAATCATATTACCATGATTACTGATGACATAATAGCTCTACAGATCAAAGAAAACAGCTGAGGGCCATTGATTGATTGAAGGACTTTGTCTGCCAGGAGATCCCTATTCCCAGCTGTAGGACGTCTCATTCACTGCGCATTGTGTACTGAACACAAAAAGTTAGGTATCATGAAATGCTTCTACAAAGGTAGACATTCAAACTCAGTCTTAACTACAAAAAAAAAGATATTACCAAAATAATCAAGATCACTAACTGATTTTTGTTCAGGAGTGAGTGAGTGAGTTTGGTTTTACGCTGCTTTTAGCAATATTCCAGCAATATCACGGTGGGGGACACCAGAAATGGGCTTAACACATTGTACCCATGTCGGGATTTGAACCCGGGTCTTCGGCGTGACGAGCAAACGCTTTAACCACTAGGCTACCCCACCGCCCTTTTGTTCAGGATATTTATTGTGAATATTGCCCATTGTGTTTAATAACTGTCTGATATTTGAACATGTGCATCTTATCGATTCACAATGCTGATTGCATGACCAGTTGCAGGTCCATGACGTCAGTGCTTCGGTGTGGAGAAGAATGTGGGGGTGGACATTTCATATGTTTTTCTTCATTTTTCCTCTTAAATGTCGATGAGTAATATGTAGAATAACCTCAAAACTGGGAAATGTGCATTGTCTGTTCTTAATTCATTTTCTTGGGACAGATAATCTTGAATTCCTCGTAGCTCATTGGTTTCTCTCTACACAGGTAGTGAGAGACTTAGCCGAGTTGCCTCACAAGAAATTCAGTTATCATGCATCACGGCTTTACATGCTAAATGTCGAGGGGAAATGATGCAGATTGTGGTCATCTACCACAAACAATGCTAAAGACGGATGTGGATCCAGACTGCTTCTGTCAAATGATAAACTGACATGATAAAACCCTTTACATAAGAAGTCCTCTCAAACAGGCTGTGTGCCCCCCAGTCTCTTCTCTATTTCTTACATATACCTTGTGAACTTTATCTTACTCACACATTGAGAGCTTTATCTTGCACACACTTTGAGAGCTTTATCTTGCACACACTTTGAGAGCTTTATCTTACACACACTTTGAGATCTCAATGTTATATACATGAGAGCATTATTTTACACACACTTTGAGAGCTTTATGTTACACACATTTTGATAGCGTTTTCTTACACTCACATTGAGAGCATTATCTTACAAACACCTTGAGAGCTTTATCTTACACTCACATTGAAGCATTATCTTACACAAACATTGAGAGCTTTATCTAACACATACCATGAGAACATTAACTTACACACAACTTGAGAGCTGACACACTTTGTGATCCCTCTCCATTTCACACACCTTGAGATCCCACCCACACCCACAGACCATGACAACTCTTTGAACTCTCTGCGAGGCACCTACCTGAGTGTTGGAATCAGGCCGCACCAAAAAACTTAATGCCTGTGCCACGACACCACAACACAACAGAACTTCCCACCTATCCAATGCAGTGCTCCACCATCGTGCACTTGTTGCAACATCTGTTCTTGAAAACCGATTCCTTGTCATACAACTTAACAGTTTACTGTTACCATAGTGATGGATGAAATGTTATAACACTTGTGAAGGTTTTCCAATGCTTATTGACTTTGTCTGTGAACTCATTATACCCAACATTGATTTCAAGTCACCACGAACTGTAGACATAATTAAGTATACTAATACGGTATTGGCCCAAATACAATAACATGGCTGCCATTTCAATGTTGCTGATGTACCTCATATGAAATAAACATGAAGGTGGTTATCAATCGATGTCAGATGCAAGTTTTTATTGTTATTTTTTCACATAATTAAAAAAACGTCAAGGTTGAATTATCATTATAATCTACTTTCTCATAAGTCAAATTGATGAGGTTTTTGTTTTTTCAATTTTGCATTTTTTAATTTGGAACCAAGGCCTTTTTAATCCTTGTCAGTAATATAAAAACAAGACTGGTCATATCATGTTGACCCAAGCAAGGATGCAGCTTTTGTAAAAAGGGAGAGTACGCTTACAATAAAAAAACTGTTAGTTATAAATTGCATCTGTAAAGCCAAAGTTAGACAGTTAATTGTTATTTTAGTTGAAAACATGTCACCAAATAATTTTGTTTTATGGTTTTTAAGTCAGGATTTTTCCAGGGTTTCAAACTCAGGGTCTAATGCCATTCAACTTTGGAAACAAATGGTTATTTTGTTTAAATTGTTCAGTGAGAAACAATTCAACTCTACAAAGACTTAACATGAATTATTTACTACATAATATGAATTGAGAATTTGGGTATTCCAAACTATTATAAATGACAATTGCTGCAGAATATCGGCCTCTGAGCAGGTCTAGATAAATCTAGATAAATCCAAGTGTATGTCAACAAAGTATATGCTTAAACTCCTGTGAAGATCCGGGTTAGAATTGGTCTTCAGCAACCCATGCTTGTCTCCATGCTAGTGTTATTATATGGCATGTATTAGCTGACCTTACTAGGCCGAACAGAATTTTACTAGACTCAGGCTTTGGAGAAGTTGCTAAAGTCGCAACACATGCTTGTTGTAAGAGACGACTAACAGAACCTGGTGGTCAGACTCTCTGACATGGTTGATGCATGTCATCGTATTCCAATTACATAGATCAATGGTCATGGTGATAATCACTGGATTGTCTGTTCCAGACTTGATTATTTACAGACCAGAGTATGGCATTAAACAACTGCTTCCAAAGTGGGGGATGTGAACTCCTGCAATAACCATCCACCCTCCCCCAGATCCTTGTTATGTGTGTACCATACTAAAGTCAAACTTCAAATGTGACACAAATCAATTGAAATCCACTATCCCTAGTACAGGCGAACTGTGCCTCACTGTATATATAATGCCATGCTAAAAAAACAGTCCTTGAATCTATTTTGAAAATCTGTGCCCGTTAACTGAATTATGTAACCTGTTGATGTCCTCTAGGTGGGATGCCAATCTCACCCTTGTCACAAAGCCAAGACTATTTTCTCAACAACCTTCAATTGTTAATGGAGGCTCTAGAAGAAATGACATAACTTATGTCCTTACAAAATTCCCAGTTCTTCCAACTCGATAGGTTGTTCTTTTTCTTAATTTTTCAGAGACTAAACACAACATAAAAAAGATTTTTTTCTTGCCTTAAAAAACAAATTGCTCTGTTTGCACTTGATCTTTGCAGTTCACACCAATATGTCTTTCTATATGTCTAAATAAAAACATAAGTGAGTTGCGGTACAGCCACCTTTTTCAGTTATATCACAATTATCAACTTAATCCGAAGATGATGCGGTCATAAAACCACTTTGTAAAACCAAGAAGCACAGGCATTGTGCTGACACCTCAGAATAATTACCTCAGATCAGTCCCATCTCCACACAACTTGTCACCAAAACAAGAAAACAGAGTTATCACTATCCCCCAACCAGAGTGAATAACTGTAACAAATTTAAGACACCAACTTTGAACCCATTTAAGATCATGACCAGTAGTAGTAGCGGATGAGTGTAAATGATGTTTATCCATGTTTATCAATGCTAGTTATGTTTATCCATGTTCAGTGTAAATGATGTTTATCAATGCTATTGATGTTTATCCATGTTCATCAGTATAAGTGATGTTTATTCATGTTCATCAGTATAAGTGATGTTTATTCATGTTCATCAGAGTAAGTGATGTTTATTCATGTTCATCAGTGTAAGTGATGTTTATCCATGTTCATCAGGGTTAGTGATGTTTATCCATGTTCATCAGTGTAAGTGATGTTTATCCATGTTCATCAGTATAAGTGATGTTTATCCATGTTCATCAGTATAAGTGATGTTTATTCATGTTCATCAGAGTAAGTGATGTTTATTCATGTTCATCAGTGTAAGTGATGTTTATCCATGTTCATCAGAGTTAGTGATGTTTATCCATGTTCATCAGAGTTAGTGATGTTTATCCATGTTCATCAGAGTTAGTGATGTTTATCCATGTTCATCAGAGTTAGTGATGTTTATCCATGACCATCAGAGTTAGTGATGTTTATCCATGTTCATCAGAGTTAGAGAGCACCATATCATATCAAAACAACGTGAGAGGGTAGTCAAACTCCAACTAGCTCAAACTTAAGTTCCAAAAAAGCATAACGTGAAAAACTATATCAAATCAGTGTTCACACTTGAAAAAACACTACATACAGTACTTACAGTACCATAAACCTTACAGCCCAAACTTGCCCAAGTCTTTCATCTATCAGAATGTACTAATCACACTAATTGTCAACACCAGCCAAGTAACATGTGGCAACAATAATACCCCACGACCTTGTTATTCCCTATACCCTGTATCCGACATTGTTTATTTATGAGCTGGTGGAAGTTTCGAAGTCACGAGTGCAGCTTCTGTTGTCTATAATGTCTTCATCTTACAAGCTTGTATATTTGACATTATGTCTGGTGGGTATTTACATCAACAAATACAAAACACACACCATGCCCCTCTCCACCTACAGAACATTCAGGACTCGAAGGCCAAGTCTTTTTCTCCATGTTTACAGATATAAAATGGGATAGGCTAGATCACAAGTAGGTAAACTGCGTACTTCGTTCTTCCTTTTTCAAGCTGAACGTTTGATGATCCTTACTCCCAGTAACCCATGTTAAGCATCCCTCGATCATGTCCATCTTAGCAACATCTTAATGGAGGGTCTGCCCAGAGAGCGGAAGGTTCGGGGTTCGATCCTCGGCTGCGCCATACCAAAAGACGTTAAAACATTGCACTTGTTGTTACTCTGTCTGGCGCTCGGCATTAAGTGGCTGAAACAAGGACTGGTCGGTTTGTAGTCAGTAAACTGTGTCTGAGTGAGGTATTCATGTTAAACTGCAGCATTGTATTTCAGTGTGCAAGCACTAAAAATCGGCATCAGTCCGGACTAGTACAAGCAGCTCCACACACACATGTGCACGTACATCGGTATATAAGTGCAACAATCTTGGACGCGGCTTTAAACACCATTTCACCTCACCTTACCTCACCTTAGTGGTGGGGTAGCCTTGTAGTTCAAGACCATCACGCCAAAGACCAAGGTTCGCTTACCCACATGGGTACAATGTGTGAAGCCCATTTCTGGTGTCCCCCGCCGTGATATTGCTGGAGTATGGCTAAAAGTGGCATAAAACTTCACTCACTTTGTTTATTGTTTAACAAAGCAAAGCAGCAATATCAACTGATCAAACCTAATTGACGGCGACCCTGGAAATAATAAAGGCTGGACCAGACAAACCAGTGATTGATATGAGCAACATCCCCCATGTATGGTTACAATGGTACAATCAACCAATAGTCACTTTGCAACGAGGGTAGTATGCATCACCCCTGCATTTTCAAAATCCTGGACCCGTCTCTGTTTAGTGGTTGCTTTTGCCCCAGATCATAGAGTGAGGCTGCTGTTGGTCTGTCTGTCTCACAGTCCCCGAACCATATCATTTTCCCTTCTATCCAGCCCTTACTGTAATGCTATAGCCCTAAATAAAGCAAGTCTAGATCTTCCCTAGGTCCAGGTACTGTATCTACCATCTCACTAGGGCTCCTTAGTGTTGTTGTTTGGTTATCATAATTATATATTTTCAGAGACGTAGCGTTAGTCATGACTACTGTCAATGCTTAAAACTGCTAACACTGGCTCTGGTTTAGACTAACATTAAGTCTCTGAAATCTTATATTACACAGTATCCTTCTTGACTCGAAAAATAAAAAAATTTTCCTGTGCTGATGTGGAATAGAGCTAGCTTGAGCTGGCTAGACTTGCTTTTGTATGCATTTCTAGATTATTATTTTTTCATAAAATAAATATATTCCACGATCATGGTGCAGGACTAGCTCTGGTTCTTCAGACCAGTTTGGAAACATTTCTGATTGTAACAGGAAAAGAAGTTTGAAAATTATATTGGTGCAACTCTGTGGTCTCAAAGTGGAAGTCTCTTCTTATTATCCTTCTTATTAGGATACCCTTTTTGAAGAGTATGGAATGACTGACCTTTTCTGTTGTTGTATATCATCATGACTACCAAGACAAAATTGTCATCTGTTTGGTTTTATGACGTCAGTTGCTTGTCTACCTGCTGTGGCATTGCTGGGATATTGCTACATGGGGGTTCTTTTTCAATTTAAATGTAGTTGTTTGTTTCTATCAAAAAAAATAAAATTTTCAGACACTGATACTGAGAGGCTGTGTAGTGGCTGGGCCTGACACCGAGAGGCTGTGTAGTGGCTGGGCCTGACACCGAGAGGCTGTGTAGTGGCTGGGACTGACACTGAGAGGCTGTGTAGTGGCACTGGGACTGATACTGAGAGGCTGTGTAGCGGCACTGAGACTGACACTGAGAGGCTGTGTAGTGGCACTGGGACTGACACTGAGAGGCTGTGTAGCCGCACTGAGACTGACACTGAGAGGCTGTGTAGTGGCACTGGGACCGACACTGAGAGGCTGTGTAGCGGCACTGAGACTGACACTGAGAGGCTGTGTCTTGGCACTGAGACTGACACTGAGAGGCTGTGTAGTGGCACTGGGACTGACACTGAGAGGCTGTGTAGTGGCTTGGACTGACAC